GAATTCGAACTCACATCCCCGGGGTGATAATTTGTTGACGTTACCACCGGGCCACCACCGCCTGATCCAACCTCACACTTCAGGCGATTCGGCGTCCGAAGCTCGCGGTGTTGCTGGTGTCGGGATTGCGCTGAGTGCCAAGGCTGAACGCTCACTTCTCGATTGGTTTCCAATCAGTAACCGACTATGCGTCGTACGTCTCAACGGTTCAGCGCGGGTCAACAGCTACAGAACAAAGCTTCGATACTTATTCGTCGTGTCGGTGTATGCACCGACCGATTGCAGTGCATCCGAAATCAAGGATGAATTTTGCAAGGATCTTTCTCGATTAGTCCAAAGCGTTCGATCGACGGACGTCGTAGTTGTCGCGGGAGACTTCAATCCTCAAGTAGGATCCCTGGATGAGTCAGAAGGGCCTCTTGGTGGACCACATGCAATCCTAGCCAACCGGACGGACAACGGCGATCGCCTACTTCAACTCTGCACCGACCACGGACTGTTTCTATCAGGCACGAACTTCTCACACAAACGACACCGCCTTACATGGAGACCGCCAACCTCTTCACAACACTGGACCCAAATCAACCACATCGCTATCACTTACCGCTGCAGTGAATCGGTTCAAGACTGCCGCTCTTACTGGTTAACACTTGCGGATACGGGCCACGCTTTGTTACGAGCCAAATTTTCCTCACGCCTGGCAAACAACCGTAAAAAAGCCACCAAAGACGGATACCTACGATACAACGTCAGCGATTGTTGCATATCAGTCTTCAAAGCGGAACTCTCCGATCGCCTTCCAGTTCAACCACCAGCCGAAGGACCCACTGCACACTGAAAGCAAATCAAGGAGACTATGCAAATATCAATAAAAACAACGTCAAACCCTCACGCAGGCTCAAAACCTAAACGATGGATCTCATCGACCTAGGCAGCCCTGCTGGATGCCCACAGAACCCTTCCTCCGGATGCCACATATGAAAGCGCACAAATCCCTCAAACGCCAACTCATCAAGGGTCTGAGGAATGACCGCGAGAAGTGGTGGGTAGGAAAGTGTAGAGAGATGGAGAAGGCTGCGGCTATTGGTCGCAATCTTTTCCGTCTAATTAGGAATGCGGGTCCTAGGAGAATAAACGTGAGGTAATTAAGGAATTCGATGGCACACTGATTCACGATCAGCAACGCCTTCTTGATCAATGGGATGAACATTTCAAGGCTCAGTTCAACTGGCCCCCGTCGACTTATTTTTCACTCTCCGCCTCGACTGGACAAATACTTCCAGTTAATGCCAGTTCTCCACCTGAAATGGAGGTTTCCCGAGAAATAAGCTATCTCAAAAGGCATAAGGCCTCCGATCCGGACGGGCCCTCCCCATCCGTCTTTAAGGATAGAGGTTTAGCATTGGTTCCGGATTTACCGAAGCTCCTGGGTTCAGTGTGGGAGAGGGAACAGGTTCCAGCTGAATGGTGGGAAANAATGGTCATCATACCGATTTACAAGAAAGGTGACAGATCCTCTTGTGAAAACCACAAAGGAATTAGTTTAATCAACATTGCTTCTCTCGGGTATCATACTCCGTCGGTTGTCTGCCGCACGTGAAGAGTGCACGCGTAAGAACCAGGCCGGTTTTAGACCTGGTCGAGGTCGTATCGACCACATCTGGAGCACCGACATTCTTTTCGTAGACCCACCATTTCTATTTTCCTGGATCTTAAAGCGGCTTTCGACTCAGTCGACCGCTCTAAACTCTGCCTCTACCTTTCTCTGAAAGGTGTATCCGAGAAGTTTATTTCAATATTACGATCCCTCTATACTCAGCCGAAGTCGAGTCCGAGCGTACGGCACGTTTTCACCCGAGTTCACCACGGTCTTCGACAGGGCTGCCCTCTCTCCCCTTTTCTATTCAACTTTGTTATAGATCTGATTGTGGAAACAGCCCTATCCTCGTGTGAGGATAGTGGCATCGCTTTACTCCCAGGTGGAAGGCTGTCTGATCTAGAGTATGCAGACGACAATGTGTTACTAAGTGAAGATCCAGGTAAGTTGCAAGCTTTTCTGGATAGTTTGAGTGCTAG